GAAAAAGGGACAGGCAACGTCTGAATTGAGACGTTGTCTATTATTATAATATTGAGACGTTGCCCCCTTTTCTTCCTCCTTCACGAGTGTTCCTTTTTGCAAACAGTCTCAGATTTCAATCATCATGAATAACTTACACCATCTCGCCTGCACGTTAACCGTTTTTTCAATGTCAGGAACTGGCCACGTCAAATACGTCGGACACCAGGCGGTGGTCCGAAACATAGCCGGCGGCGCCGAGAAAAGAAAGGACGCCGCAACGAAGGCGCGAAACTAGGCAGGGCGGAACGTAGACGCGGTCGAGTCGGCTCAACGAGAAGCCACGCGACTACGTGGAAGCATACAAGGAGCGATATGAATCGACACAGGCGTCACGTAGGTGATGTATCCCGATGGCTGATCTAGTTCTCAGGTGTTCCAAACGGAACACCCGCGCGCAAGGGCCGCGAACATTGCGGGCAAAGTCTAAAACACAAATAAAATTCCCAGAAAGTAGAAAAAAAAACCGTCTTCAGGCACATACTGCATAAGGCTCCTAAAAAGCGACAAGCCGCCGTTTGGCGTGCCGGTGCGTAAACGCTAATCGCCAGGAATTTGGCGTTGCCGACAAAAAAGTTATAAACGAGGACGCGACCGTCTGGGTCACAGACCGAGAAAGCCCCCTTCAAAAAAGCCGTGCGAGATGTCAAGACAGCGACACCGCAAGAGCGTTACGAGACAAAAGAAAAATAACGGGATTGAAAAACAGGTGTAGTGGACATCCCTCGGTGTAGCCGCCGGGCCGCTCGGTCGCCGAATCTTGAAGCTCGTGGTGTCTCGTTCTGTCTGCTCGCGCGGACAGGCTTATTTTTTATCGTTTCGGTAGCACCACTAGCTTGGCTGCTACAGATGTCCTCCCTGAGACAAGTGGCCCGGACCACTTGCGCTCAAAATGGGGAGCGGGTTGGAGCGTTCCTCTGACACAAGGGTAGTAGTATAGTGTCAACGGCTGTGGTATGAGCAGGTTTTAGTCGGTCCAGGGAAACTGTATCTCGACGTCCCTGTATAAGTACCGTATAAAACTTCGGTGCCCTGCCTACGACCTGGTATAGGCCATCGTATAGAGGTCTGAGAGGCTTGTTTACCGCATCCCGACGTATGAATATACATGCGAAGATTGGGCAAGGACAGGGTGTCATGCGCTAAGTTGCTGTGTCTGTACTGTGCACAAAGAGTTAATGGCTTCCCGGAGTCGTTTCACGTAGGAGGTGAGATCCATTACACTTTGTGCCGTTGATGGTTCAACCAAGTGAACAGCGAGACGAAGGGGAAAACCGTACACGAGTTCTGCCACTGTACAACCCAATTTGGCCTTCAGAGTTGATCGCAGACGAAGTAGCACGTGCACTGGTAGATTAGTGAACCCATGCATGGGGGAAGGTTTGTGCTCGGAGCGCATCCGTACGCAGCCCATAAGAGATTTTAATTTTTTAAAGATCGCGGACTCGAACTGGCGCCCGCGATCGGTTGTGATTTTGGCAGGCACACCGAAGCGGCTGATCCAGCTGAATATGAAAGCGTGTGTTTCTGTTTTAGCGGTGATGTTTTTTTAGTGGTACCACCTCTGGCCAGCGAGAAAATCTGTCGACGCATGTCAATAGGTAGGTAAAATTCCGTGAAGTTGGAAGTGGACCTTTAATGTCTAGATGGACGTTCTCAAAGCGTGCGGATGGTAGCGGAAACTTGCCGAGTGGTGTATGGGTGTGACGCTGCACCTTCGACCTCTGGGAGGCAAGAAAAGAGCGTACAAATTCCCGTATGTAGGCGTTGATTTTGGGCCATACGAAAAGGTTCGTTACCAGTGCTTGCGTTGCGCGTATGCTTGGGTGGCAAAGGGAGTGAAGTGAGGAGGACAGCGCATGGACGCAATTGGCGTGGCACATACGAGCGGGGTTTTCCTGTCGAAGTCATGAACGTCTTTACGTTCGGTAAACTTTAAACGTCTTTACGTCCTGTGAACTTTAAGCGTCTTCACGGTCTGTGAAAAAAAAAGATTTTCGAACAGAAAGCAAGTCAAAATGCTGGGACTGTGAAAAATGAACAACCTCACGCTGCTTATCTGGACAGCAAAAACCTTGCACATTTAGAGTTTAGACGTACAGGTCCACAAAAAAAGGGGAAGAAAGAAAAACGCATTAATAGTCACTAGACGGGCACCGAATCCTTGGCGGTTTTTTTTTTTTTTTGGGGGGGGGGGGGGGAGCAGTCGAGGTGTGGGGGCGTCCGAGCCGTTACTGCTGGACGGGAGGGCAGGCTTGACGTCGTGGCGTTCGCATACCATGCCTTCGGTGCGGTCGTCGGCGGGCGCTAGGCCTGTGGGTGACGAGCATGTGGGCAAAAGCTCCTGGTGAGACGGCGTGGAGGGCTGTTGTCCCTCGCCTGGAGTGACGTCTTCCTCGTCCGCGATTACGAGGCGGTCGGAGTTCGAGCTCAGGTCATCGGAGTCGGCGGTGGGGGAGACGAAGGTCGCGGCGAACCGCCTCCTCCGACGAGCCGGTGGCTGAGTCGATGGCAGGCGGTGGTGGGACTCGTCGAAGGACGGAGGGGTCGGGATCCTCTTCGGGACAGTCGGCCGGGAGGGGACGTCCTTCGATGGGAGCGGATTCCGGAGTAGAGGGCCGAAAGTCTCGGGGCAGCTGTGCTGCTGCGGTGTTCGTCTTCTGTTGTGAGCAGTTGGCGGTCACGTGGCTGCGGCCACACCGCAAGCAGGGCGCCGTGCTGCCGAGGGGCGAGGTGGCCGAAGACGCCACACCGATCACAAGTGGGGCCTTTTAGGTCGAACCGATGTGACCCTCCTGCCCTCACCTGCTGCATACATGTCGGAGGCCACGGTAGTTTACCATGACGCGGTGGGCGTAGACAGTGATGAAGTTGGGGATGGTCTTCGTCAACTCCCCCTTCACCCCCCCATCTGCCGGTTTTCACGTCGGGGAGGTTTCAGAAGGTCGCGCGGGTGATCGCCTTCACCCTTCTATACGGGCTGAGAGCCAGGCCTAGGGTCTCTTCCGGAACGTAGGGCGGCAGGGAATACACGGAGACGTGGATGACGTGGGCACCGACCGATTCCAAGGGCACGGCCACGTCACGAAGCACAAGGGAGCTTTGCGCTATCAGGCGGTTGGCCACAGTCATGCTGCTGATAGCCACTAGAAACCTCACATCACCGTGATGCTGGAGGTTCTGAAAGCCATATGGACCAGCGGCTACTCGAAAAGCGTCCATGATTTCGTCCACTGCCCTGTTGGCAAGGACATTAAACATAAGGAACTGCACCTTCGACGGCATGGTCGAAGACGCCATGGCGCTAACAAAAGCCCCGAGACCGTGAAACACATGGCCTTAGGGACGCAGGAACGTGAAGGTGCTCTCGAAAATAGTGAACAAAGCCCACCTTAACACCGCTGCTTGAAATGCCGACGAAACATTTAACCAGCAATTCTCCAGTTGAACGCCAAAAGAACGGAGAAGCGCGAGATCAGTTTAAAGTTTTATAATATTCTTGTGAAACCAACTTGCCTCCTCCAAGACGTTAAATTGTACAACCGAAGACCCTCATTAAATCTCCAAATTTGTTGTGCGTGTAACATTTATGCTTTCTAGCACTGGTGACATAGTCAAGCTCGACAGGCTTGCAAGGACAGAGTGACCGGAAGTCGCTTGGGACGCAAGCGGCAGTTCATGTCTGTAAACAGCAAAAGGGTCTACGCAACGTATGTAAACTCGTTAGCGTTTTCCGCCAAGTCACATTCAGGACTAAGCAGCTCCACGAGCAATTCATACTGCCGCGAACTGGTGCTGCTTCTTAGGAACTCATGACGTGGCGGCATTTCAACGGAGCCTCACAAACCGCCACCAGACGGAATTTTGAAATTTGTTAATTTGTTTTAAAATTATTTTTGTTTTTTACTTTTTCTTTTTTTGCAGCTTAGAATCAATAGTCTATGCTAGTGTTTCTGGGCTGCTGGCACACCATAGATCACATACTAACAATGAAATAAGTACAAACATTTCGTTTCCGTACCCCTGTAGCAGATTCCATCAAAAGTATGTGAAATAAATGACCCTTAAACACCAGTAAACACTCTAAAATGGTACGTGCAACTTCGTTTTTTGCGAAGCAAATAGGGGGCCAGTCACACCGACAACGTGATCTGCTCAAAGACCATGAGCGCGACCTTTCGCATATGGCCGGACCACAAGAAAGACTACGAGGACTGTTCATGTAGAAACTCAGTAATGCCACTTTGGAGACAAAAGTTTTTTTTTTTATATCGTTTTAGTGGTAACATAATTTGCAGAATCTCCACTGTAGTTTGTAAACCACAGTGATGGATCAATCCGTGTTCAAAGCGTAAACAGACGCGCACGCCATTTTTGGGTTTTCTTTTAGCGTCACTGTCCATGCCGACTGCAACGTACAACAACAAAACCACTATTGGCGACAAGTGCACGCGACCAAAAGCGTCGCTCCGGTCGGCCCTCCATGACTAGCCAAACGTTCCCTTTGCCCTCTTGAGTAGGCCATGAGCTTTACTTTCATTAAAGGAAATAAGGAGAGTGTCAGTCTGTGAGTTTTGACGGTGTTGGTGTTAGGGCGCGATGACCACACAAGCTTCCACCGTGCTTTTAACGCGCGCCGTCAAAATTTTCGCTGGCAATGAATCATTCTGATGTTGACGTCACAGATAGAAGCCATACGAGGGAGCCACCGCAACATTTTTTCGCCAATAGTCACTGACAGGTTCAGAACGGCATGGAGGTGCTTCAGTCTCCGGCGTGAGCTTTTCGCCTTCGTTCATGCTTCGGCGTCTCGTAAGCCCCAAGCGCGCACGCGCAGCCGAGGCACGGCGGAAGGCAACGAGCCCGTGCTTGGGTTCAGTGCATCCGAAAGAGACGCCCCGCCGTTCTCATCTACTACGGCTACGGCTGCACCTTCTACTTCGCATGGAGTGTATACGCACGTGCATACGTTCGATATTCAGCTTTGCCATGGCGTTCTTCAGTACCTCGGGTGGACACGGTGCTCCAGCCATCACGCCTGTAACAGGAGGCAGTACTTTACTGGGAGGAGGACTCTCAAGGGGCGACGGTGCTGGGGGACGACTGGAAACAATGGCGGCGATGATTAAGGGTTGGCACAGTAAATAAGCGAATGCCTCGTCGCATACTGCGCCAAACAAAGAATTGTCACGCTGTCCAAGACGCTAGACGACTCAGCACTCAGTATAATGTTAGTCAAAGTGAAATGAAATTTCTACATGAGTCTCTTTAAAAAAGATACGCGTTGCATAACAAAAACTCTGAAATTGGTGCACTGAAAACGATACATATAAGTTATGTGCGCTACGGTACTAACGGCATGTACAACAGGTATACGAAGGCCCCCGTATTATGTCTTTCACGTTTAGATATTGTGACGTTTTGCTTCTTTTTTTTTATCATGTTAAGTGTGAACGAAATGAGAAAAACGTTCATTAGGGCATTCATGCCTTTTATAATCGTGGGTATAAGAGGACAAAATCGGTTGTACGGAGTTAAATGATCAAATCAAGAAAATTATGCGATCTGAATGTTACTACTTTGAAACGTTCCACATTGACGACGAATTTTAGGATATAGCTTAAAATAATCAACAAAACAAAACGTCGTGTTAATTGCGCATGTTTTGTTTTTTCTTTGGTAGTGTTTTTTGTTTTTGTTTTAAACTTCGTGAAGGGTTCGGAACACAGTTCTTTGTTCAGAAATATAAAATTATATAGTGAGGGTTTCCCAATTGCAACAGAGCGTTGACAGGCATCGGTATGACGGAGTTCGGGACATGGCGCGTCAGATGTTACTGACTGGGGACACTCGAGACATTAGGTTCTTGCCTCCGTTCATGATCAGCCGACGTTCCGTTGTTATGAAGGCGTTTACAAACAGCGGGCGAACCTCATCGCTGCAGTGCCCCGATATCAAACTCGTTCCCCGTGCTTCTTTTTTTTTTTTTTTAATGGGATAAGGGGGACAGAGAGTGTTTTAAGTAAGGACTCGTGTCTGAGTGCTGGTTTCTACCATACATCGACTCAACCCTCTGACGTCACGTCGGTGCGGTGGCGCTGCTGTCGGCACGGCGCATGCGCAGACCCTTATCAGCTCTCTCGAATCCGATGTTGCTGTATACTTTGTTTTAGCACGCTCAAGAGCGCAGTTTATTACCAGGACACACACAATCATTGACCCTAAAAGCGCAAAGACACGGCTCATTCACAGCTCGCGAATTGTTTAATCAGGAGACTGCACTCAACATAGAAAGTCGACGAAGGCCTCGACATGGCACTTCTTTCCGCTGCTTGATTGGCCTTATCGACTGTTAGGGTCAGCTGTGCTCTTGACTTATGGTATACGAGATTTAGTGCTCAATAGTTTGACGATTCCTACACGAAAAAAGGAAACTATACTTAGTTTTAGCTTAAGTCCAGACGCAGCCGACGCTACGAGCTAATGTGACCTATCAAGCTGCGTTAAAAGCGCGATTCACTGGACCTTTCTTTGTTTATGATTGGTTCAGCGATAATAGAACACGTACAAAAACACGACGAACATCCTGATGGAGCGCTTTTGAGCCTGCCTGATTTGTCCCATCAGCTCGTAGCGTCGGCTGCGTACGGACTTAAGGTGAACTGAGGTCTAGCTTTTGTATATGGGCTCGGTAGTTCGTTTTTTACGAACACGACTTCAAAGCATCAGCGCGCATTGATATCCCGTTTATGAAGCATAAAAAGCTCTAAAAGTAAGCTGAACGCTTCGCTAGCAGTATTTGGCTTGCGATTTCCAAAACCACGGTTATAATGAGTTTGGGAGCTACTCCACAAGCAACTATACTCGGGAAGGTTTTGTTACAAGATTATAAAGAATGTCTGCGACTACTTTCCAGCAGATCACTCGAGGACCAATAACTGTTAACGACAGGGATAGCTCGAAAAATGGCAAAAACAGAAAAAAAAACGTTTATAAAAAAAAAAAAAGACGAAGTGTGCCATGTTATGATGAGCTTGACGTCCCTCCTGCTGACGTCACTCTGATGTATCACAATTAAACTGAGATTAAGAATTACGTATAAGTGCTTCCTAAAGCCGATCCACGTTTCAGTACAGTGTGAGGACAAGAAAGGTTTTTGTATACCTTTACGCGATACCTATAATATTGATAACTCATTCTTAGCCAAGAAAATCAGAAACCTGAATCTTATGCGACAACAAACAGCTTTTCAAACAATAATTGCTTTAGTGTTTTCCATGATTATAAATAATATCAAATTGTTCTCTTACTTTTTATCCGGTTAAATAAATCAGTTAAATAAAGAATGAACGTTCTGGACAACAAATAATGCAAAAGGAAATCACCTTTACGCATGGAAGAGACGTCGTAACGTTTGGCTTCCTGATGATTCAGTATGTCGATGTACATTGTGGGCGTTCCGTACATGACCGTACACCTGGAACATCCGGTAACAGGTTTTTCAGTTAACCAAACCAACCCGCGCGCCTTCTGTACACCACATCAGAACTCGCAAGCTGATAACCAGTTAAAACATCCTCGATCTCTCTGAACCGCAAATTTTGTATTCTCGCACGAGCGGCGAAGAGCAGTGCCGCCAGCGCCGATAGAGAACGACATCGAAACAGCTCAGTGATTAAACATCACGTGCAATTAATACTGCGCAATGGCAAATAACTCTGCTTTGTCTTTTGTCACTCTGCGGCATTGAAACTACAGATGTTAAAGCAGCTTGAACAAATGAAAATAGTTATAAAATATAATTCTTTCAGTGACCTGGAAGTCGTCTTTAACTGTACTGGCGTTGTTTCTACAAATATTCACATAATTACACAAGGATGTACGAACGTCTATTATACATAGCATTTTAATTAAATAACACTTATTTGTGTAAAATCTATCACCTTACTGAATTCACTATATTAGAAAAGAAAAAATAGTTTCCTTGTAGCAACCTTGGCCTAATCTTATTTTAGACGTACTATTTTTAACTTTAAATGCGAATTTGTAGTTGCCACGAGCCTTATACACCGATGTATTTTAACTTTCATGAAACTAAAGTCACGATCTTTAATAATATAACCGCTTACACGCTGGCAAAACGTTTACGCATTTTTAGAAAGCAATAGCTTAAGCTCTTATACCCCTGTCAGACGGGCTAGTTTAGTGTCACTACAAGCGAGTGCACTTCGCCCTTAGTGTCATTTCTGTAGTGTGCCACACGGCTCCTTCCTGAGGAACGCACTTCGCTTGGAGTGAGTTTGACGAACTCACTTCGCTCGATCGAGCGCGTGGAATCAGTAGGAGTGTTTCAACAGTAAAACATAACAACACAGAAATCAAAAGCGTTGCGTAAGTTTTATTTTAAAAATAAAAAGAAATTCGTGAAAAAGACGACATATAGAAGAGTGGCATTTGAAAAAAAGTAGTGGGGTAAACTTGGAGTTTAGGCTTACCAGAATCAAGATTAGCGCAGCGGTGAATTGATAAAAGACGACGACAAAGTCAGTCATTTATGGCTGTCTTGGTTAGCAGAGAACTATAGAGTCTACTTTTGTTTCAGCATGTAATTATTCGATACAACGCGATAATTATGATCTGATTAGGCTGTGTCAGGGCCTCTTCGTAGGCTTCCGTGGAACGAAGCGGAACGCCAAAGTTGGATATGCTTCGTCTTTATATTGGCTTGCGATGATCGATCAGAATCATCCAATTGGCGTAAAAATCGTTCATTAATGCAACGTTGTTTTAGAGCACAGCTCCTAGGCACCCCTTTCTGAGTTAAGCGGCGTCGGCGTAACCACGCGTTGCATAAAGGGCTGTTTCCCAAAATGACGTCACACGTGACGTCACGTGTGTCGTCACGTGTGACGTCACGAGGGTAAAATTTTCTCGCTAAATTTTGGGGTAAAAGTTTTTGCTAAGTTTGGCGGAAAATTTTTCCGCTAAATTGAGGAAAAAGTTTACCCGTTTGACGTCACATTTAAAATTTCATATGACGTGTCATGTGACGTCACACGTCAATTCAGCGGGAAAATTTTCCGGCTATATTTAGCGGGAAATTTAGCGAATTTTTTACGCTAAGTGGGATGGGAATAGGAGAGGAGGATAGGACGGCACGGAGGGGGAGCGGCTGCATACCCTTCACTTCGTACACTTCCGCCCTCCTCTCAAGAGCTGCGCTCCAATTCGGCATTACAGAGAATTGTAAAAGTCTAATTTTTTTAACGTGTCTTTATTAAAGGGTATTGGTGGCCGAGTGGGCTAGCGCCCACCAGATCGGAGTACCTCGAGAGAAAGCTCGCGCTGGAGAACCCAGTGATCCTGAGCTCAATCCCCAACCCTGCCCGAAGAACACACTTCCAATGAAGTGAGTTCGGGGAGCACACTACGCTCGTTTCGGTAGACCGAGTGTGTAATCTCGATAGCAGTGTTCAAGGAGTAAAAATAATAGAAGAAATTATCGCTGCGTAAAATTAGTATTATTTTTATAGGAGTAATTTTAGATGCGCACTTGTTTTCTGTTGGCAGGAAAGTAGTACATTGTAAAAAAACAAGCGGCTAATCTAGTTTCCAGCCTCGGCCCCTGCGCGACGGCCAGCGACGGTCAGGAGGCACCTGCGAGACTCCACCAGGAATCTGAAGGTGGCAGGAGAGACGCGAAAGGCTTGCTTGAAATGGAACTCGCCCAAATGGGGCAAGGTGTCTTCGAACCACCGTTCGTTCCTCTGGAAAGTCCACCGTTCTCGACTGATCACGGGTAGGTTTTCGGTCATGAGAGCGGCTATGGTGAAGACATTGGCCTGCGGCTGCTGATCGATGTCACTTGAAATTCTTGCCTGTGCGTCGGCATCCAGGTCCAGCTGTCTCTCATCTGAAAGGCGTTGGGCTCTCACGGAGAAAAGTACCCCAATCACACGCTTCCACTGTCCAACATCGCGGATATCGTCCTCCAGCTCGTCCTCCACACACTCCATGATGTTTCGTTGTGGCGAGTGGCCACCGTGCGAGTGGCCAAGTCGGCTCGCGCACACCAGCTTGGAGCACGCGGAGCGAAAGCTCGCGCTGCAGAACTCTGGAATCCTGGGTTCAATCCATACTTCTGCTCGTTTCGATCTATACTCCGTTTCACCTTATGTTGTACCACAGACAAGGCTAGAAGCGCGAGCTCATAGCGTTGGGAGCTACTCTTAAAGCACGAGAGCTTGTGCCGCCGAGATGTGCCCTGAGCAAGGAGCTCGCGCTTGTAGCCTTTCCTGCGGTACATTATGAAGTGAAACAGAGTATAGATGAGCATTGTACCGGCGTGCGGATGCGTATCACTGGCTTGTAATGGCTGATCGTAATGATCAAGTTGGATTTAAATTTGGATTAAAGCTCGTGACTTAGCGCAACAATGTGTGGTAACGCGTTTCTAATAAGACGACGAAATTATTTATGAAAGAATGCGTATGCACTGTAATATTTTGCGTGACAATGTAGAATAACCTTAGCTTGGTATACGACCTTAGCTGGGGTAATGACGAGACAGTCATTCGAAGCATCCGAAACGGTCGAGATTGTTTTTTATATGTGTCGCGAGAGCGCAGCCAGCTCTCGAGACAAACCCACGCGCTCGTGCGCAGCGCTCGCAGACTTGCCCGCCGCCGTGTGCCGGTAGATACATCACACCCATTACTTACCCATCGTCATTGCCATCATTTTGGAGTGACACTAAGTTTTCCCGTGTAGCACCAACAGACTTGGAGTGTGTTTCGGCGGGTTGAAGTGCACTCGCTTGTAGTGACACTAAACTAGCCCGTCTGACAGGGGTATTAGGCATAAGAGCAGAGTGAGTGTGCATGCTGAATCAAATTTCCGGGCGGCCGACCTTCGCTTCGAGATGGCTTCCAAGGCGGCCACGGCGTCGAAGCTTGGTGCTGGCATCACGATGGTAGCGCCAAACACCACGGCGGCCATTGTGCCAATGACGCAACCGAAGCAGTGGACCAGTGGAACATTCAAGCAAATGGAATCGTTCTAAAAGAGAGACAGATACCCAAACTTTTCCTTAATTAGGTTCTACACAACGGATGTGCAAGTCTTTCAATCAACCTTTACATTGAGGGTACGCCGTATAAATTGTTTAAAAACTCCGGAGCATTATGTGAGCACGAAAAACGCACACACGCAAAATTACATCGTCATCAAGCCCTCGGAACATTGAATGGTGAAGCTGCTTCACATTCGGGTAAATGAAGCATACGGAGTGTATGCTTCATTGGGGAAAACGTGATCGAGTGAAGTACAGGAGGAACAGCGCACCCGCAAAACAGTCACTCAAATCCACACATACACAAAATAAAGAGACACTTACTCAGCGCTGACAAGCAACCCTCTGGTAATATTATACTTTCTTCTTCATCTTCTTTTTGCAGTTTGAACTAAGGCCAGGGAGAATAATTGGTCCTTTTTATTCTTGAATGGGAAGCTAAACCGTAAACTAACTAAAATTTAAATTAATGTTCGGCTAGGTGTTATGATACGGGGAAGAGTGTAATGATACGGGTTCGTCCGTTTTGTGTGAAAGAACCATTTGTTCTGAATTCAGGGTTGGTCCCTTTCAGATTTTGTTGCCTTTCTTCTTTTTGAGGTCACTTGAACGTCCTTTCGAGCTGTGCTAGGTTTCGTGGGTGTTTTTTTTTAAAGATTTGTATAAGGGTTAGCTATGGGACAGGCGGAAGTGTCCGGATGTGCGTGCGGAAGAAGACGTATATATTTATTTTATATATTTACATACCCTCAAGGCCCTGGGGGTGTTACAGAAAGGAGTGAGTAAAAAAAAAAAGACAACAACAAACAGTAATAGGAGACATTATAAGTCACGGGTCACTTTCGCAAAAATAATTAGTAACAACTCTTTTAAACATATCTAACGAGGGTAATAATATTAATGACGCCGGAAGGTGGTTCCACTCTGGTGATGTCCTAGGAATGAAAGAATCGTGATAGGCTGAGGTTCGAGATTGAAGAACGCCGACTTTGTGCTGATGATCAATGCGTGGAGAAACGTAAGGTGGGACGAGGAAGAGCTTCTCTTTAAGAATGGGGTTAGAATTGTATATTTTATAGAAAAGACATAGACGAGAACACTTACGGCGCAAAGAAAGCAGTGGCAAGGAGAGAAGAAATTTCATGAATGTTACACTAGCTGTCCGGTGATAATTATTAAGTATGAAACGAGCGCCACGGTTCTGAACTGACTCGAGATGAGAAGTGAGCGTCGTCTGACCAGGATCCCAGATTGAAGCTGTATACTCTAATTTTGAGCGAACCAAAGATTTGAATAATATTGGTTTAAAAGAAACTGGCGCTAGAGAAAAGTTACGTTTCAGGTAGCCTAACATAGAATTGGCATTAGCAATGATGTGGTTAATATGAATATGCCAGGACAGGTTAGAAGTAATGTGCACACCGAGGTATTTATATGAGGTCACACATTCTAAAGAAACGTTATCAAGATGATAGATAAAAGGCGAAGTGTTACGGCGAGACACTTTCACTGTTTTAGCCTCTCGAATAAAACGCGCAGGATATCCAATCTCCATGTTAACATCTGTGGCCGAAAAGCTCATCAATGAAAGTAGGCAAGACGTCTGCACTCAACAGAAACAAATAGACAAAACAAAGAAATTCAACATTGCGCAATATATTCATAATTTTTCTCACGGACTGAAGAAACTAGGTAACCGAGTAAACTTGGAAGTCATCTTCTCATCTCCTAACAAACTTCCCAGCTTGTGCAAAAAAGTAAGTACCCGCCCACTCCCCCAACTACAACACCTTTGTCCCTTGAACAGAGGAGGTGGTGTGCTCCTCTCCCCCCTCTTGTGGGAAACTCTACATAGGTCAGACCGGAAGATGTTTCAACGGCCGCCTTTGTGAACATAAGAACTCTTTGACCAACAAAGACTCCGGACATCTAGGCATCCACTGTCAAGACTCTGGCTGCTCAGTGCCGCTGAACAACTGCGCCGTGTTGTCAAGCACAACACCCAGCTAACAAGAGAAATCATTGAGGCAGCGAATATCACAAAACACAACGATAGATGTGTTAGTACTACGTCTTTAACCTTATCACAAAAAGAACTAGGCTACCTAGCCTTACATTAATTTCAATTTTAGTCAGTTTACGGTTCAGCTTCCTATTGAGGAAGAATTGAAAGACCAGTTATTCTCCCTGGCCCTAGTCCATAATACAAAAAGAAGACGAAGGAGAAAGTGTAATAATAGCATAGAGTTTATAGTCAGCGCCACGTAAGTGTCTTTTTCTTTTATGTGTGTGGACTTGAGTGACTGTTTTGCGGGTGCGCTGTTCCCCCTGTACATCATGAGCAACCAACTCGACCGAACCTCCGTGTTAACAGGTTATCGAATGGTTTGGAAGTTATGTGCTGAGTAGGAAGGGTTTTGTGGAAGTTAAATATATGACGTCCACAACCATTAAATTCAGCTCCGGGGTGCCTCAGGGACCTGTTTTAGACCCCTTTTTTTAAATGTTTGTCAACGATATCCCTCTCGTTATTTCACAATCATTATTCCTCCGGTACGCCGATGACATTAAAATATACCTTGAAATTCAAACTTTTACTTTTGACGACTGCGTAAAACTACAGGCAGACGTGAACAGATGCAGCAATCAGTGTAAGGAAAAGAGGCACCTTCTAAACCGTTAAAAAATCAAAGTACTGACATTTTCTCGGAAAACTCATAATGTCGGTTTTCTTCATCGATTTGAGGGGGCCTTATCGACACGTGTTACCGAAATTAGAGACCTTGGCGTTGTGTTTGATTCAAACCTAAGGTTTGACGTTCACATGGGCAAAATGGTTTGCGTATCGTGACGAGTGCCTGACCTTCTGTGTCGCCTGACTAGAGAATTTAACAATCCGCGGACGTTTTTAACCCTTTACTCTTCACTGTGCCGCTCGCAGCTAGGCTATGCATTGGTAGTGTGGAACGGAATCTGTAAAACCAATTCACTGAGAATTGAACGGGTGCAACACAAATTCATCTCAATTTTTAAGCCTCGCTATTTGGCTAGAGATGAGCAAACTTTGGATTATCAAGACCTTTTGGGATGTGTTGAACTGTGACCTACATCGACGCAGAAAAAAAGCGGATTTGATATTTTTGTTTAAAACCTTTCACAGCCTAATAGACTCCCAAAGTCTCTTCTCTGAAGTGAATATAATGAGAATTAAAGTAACTACAACGGTCGATTCACCCTTTTATACATCTAAATAATTTAGTCATTTGTGCCCAATTCCCAGGTCAGTGGATTGTTACAACGGTTACGCTGAAAAACTGGACATATTTGACTCCAGCCGGAAGAATTTCGACCACTCAATAAAGAAACCTGTCACAATTATGGCAGAGCTGAAAGATGTTACAGTGGATCGCACACGATCTTTTATTCTTTCTTGTGACTTTGTAGACACGTTGTTTTACTCTTGAAGCTCATGTAGCCAAAATTTCACTATCACTTTTAAACTACTCTATAATGATTAAAAATGGCATGAAGGCTACATGGCCATTAATATTGGCCAGAAACTTTGTCAATTTACACTTTCATTTTTCTTCTCTCTGCGTGATGTACTCTGTCGACTAAATACATCATCCTCACGGCGCACCAGCGTATGAACTTCTAACATAAATATTTACCTTCTAATTTTATGTGTTGCTGATTCTCATGTTTGTGTGTTTTTATCTAGTTATAATTTCTATGTTTTATCTTGTAATGTGAGTGTGCTGCTTGTTTTATGTGTTTGAATGTCCCGTGTGTCAGTACCAGACGTGTGCCTAACTCAAATACTCTACTCAAGATACTGTATTTCAAATACTTTTTGAAGTATCTTGGTATCTTGCAAATACTTTTGATCGAGAATATTTGCTACTGCATTTTAATTACATTTCTGAGTATCTTGTACTCATTATCTCAAATACATTTTTGACATTCGGTCATTTTCCGAGTTTTTCGGCATGAAGTGGCGTGAGCGTGCTACGGGCAGACGCGAGCATTGTTTCGAACAATCAAATCCCGTTGCTAGTTTGGATAAGCTACGGTAACTTAGATTGAGCTCGTGAAAACATCGCTTTTGTGCCAATTGTGACTAATATTTTACCCCAAAGTTCGTAGAATGAAGGCTTTCCCCTCACCTTCGTAAAGGCACGTCTTGTTTCCTAATTCACCCCAAAAAACCGACAAACAAAAGGGGTGGTTTTATAGAAGCAAAGATCGCTACACAAAGGCGCAACGCAGAACGAGAAACGACCCACGACAACAATGTAGACTTCAGTGCCAAGAAAGTAACAAACAGGAGAAAATGAGAAGTGTACAAAAAAAGAAGACACTTTTTTTTGCTTGTTCTCTATCCAACCCCACTGCAGCGAAACGCCAAATTTTGTTTTTCTTTTTCTTTCTTTTTGTTTTAAGTCCGACACTTATTTCTCTCGCGAACACTGTCTGTAAGCGAACATTGATAAGCGGAGAATAGGGCAGCAAGCGAACTACGAGTGGGATGCCCTCTAAAAATGCTAACAAAGCGTCCCCCAACGTTGAGTGCCTTTCTGAACGCAACCTACTTGAAGAAGGTGAGACTATTGCCGTGGCTATTATCTGGGCTCTCTTTGTTATCCATTCAATAATTTCCGTATCCCAAGTTCATTTATAGTGAACTCTCCATATAGAGAATATGGATTGTAGTTAAACGAGGCGTCTAAGGTGCGCCGCAGGACGTGATATTCAGCAATGTCACTATAACTGAAGCGACCTCTTATTTTTTTTGTCCCAGAAATGTTTTGTAACATGTATCAGTGATATTCTGGTCCGTATTGACCATTTTATTTAGAGCTCTCAGGGCGGTGCCATTTTGTTCGACCGCAGCGCCCTCTCAAGACATCCGGGAAGTCAAGCAGGTTCAGCGGGGTAAAACGAGAGAGAGGGCACACGCCCCATTCCGCTGGGAGACGACAAATCG